CAATAATCTTGGCAATGATGAATTACTGTTGGTATTGTTTTTCCCTTGAAATATCTTGATACTTGTGCTTCACGATGACTGTGTCTTGGCCGTTGTTCACTTTTAATGTATTGTATTTCCCTTCAGTGTCGGCAGGATGCACATGGCCGCAGATGCAATCTGTTCGCTTTAAAAAAATTTAAAAAAAACACCGCCAACAAGGCAAACTGTATTTCAATGTTGGTGTTAATATTCTGAAACGAAAACAAAATCAACAATATTTTTAAATTATTACTATAATTATCTGTTTTCAAACGTAATATTCAATGACCAAAGGAGACACGGACCGGAAAACTTGTCGAGAATCTAAAGAGATTCTTGGTCTCTTTATAACCACACTGGCTAAAACCCGGTGGTACAAAAAAGACGTGGACAGGACAGCTGTTGTTGGTAGAAAAATATATATATTTGGACAGAAAAGGGAAAAGAAGAGAAACATACAAATGGATGGAGAGCATGTCCGTCCGACCTCGAGTTGTCGTGGCTACGCTAGCTTAGCTGTTGTCGTAGATCAAAGCTATTCGATGTGTAACGTCCGTTGCGTCAGCAGTGATTGGTTGAAGCCAAAAGACGTGCGTGCGTACACGTCCGCGCTGATGCACGCACAGCGGAGAGCAGCGGACTATCGACTGCTGACTCGCGCTTCACTCAAGTGGCATCGTTACAAATCCACAACAATTTACCGGCCATTCTTTTTGTCTCATCCTGTGTACTATTTCAATTTTAGGAATAAAAATCGAAAATCCAATTGTTATTAGACTATTTCCTGGCTACAAAGAGAATAATGCTGTGTTTTGTTTTGGTGTTTCTATTTTAAAACGAAATTAAAATACATCAGATTCAGATCAAGAAAAACTTGGTCTCCGGTAAACAATCGATTCGATTGGCTCATTGTGGTCACGTGATCATACAACAGGGGCGTACTCAGTCTGTGACAGTGGCCTGAGGGATTCATGTGGGGCTTTGACACCTAAGATGGTGGCGGCGAGGGCGCAGCGGCCCGGACCTCTCTCCCTCGTCGTGGTTTTAGTTTGTCTCTTGTTATGTTTTTGTGGTCTTGTGCGAATGTGATCAAGTGTGTGAATGGCTTGTACACATATACCAGTGCAGAGTTAAAAAACATTGGACTTGCGAGTGAAATCGCGATAAATGCGGACTTTAGAGATACGTGGAATATACCCCCAGCGATAGCCAGACCACCGGGCTCTCCGTGGATTGTTGTCGGGACTAGGAGGCGGCGCAGGCGGTGTAGAGAGCGGAGGCAAGAGCGAGGGTGCAGGGCGGGCCTGCTAGCCAGGCTAAGGAAGCAGCCGCTCAGACCAGCGCTGCCAAGCATCTTCCTGACGAATGCTAGATCTATCGCCGA